AATCCATGGGATTCAAGTGTCCTGAGAGGAAAGGAGTTGCTGACTTCTTGCAAGAGGTGATTTCCCTTTTTAATTTCTTCACTTTCTTGTATGTGTTTCACTGTCATAGTACTAACTTTTTTCTTAAACAATATTCTTTTCGTGGGGGTTGTGATAGGTGACATCAAGGAAAGATCAAGAGCAGTACTGGGCACGTTTAGATGAGCCCTATGGATTTGTTACTGTCAATGATTTCGCCGAAGCATTCCAGTCATTTCCAGTTGGTCAGAAACTTGGTGATGAGCTTGCTGTTCCCTTCGACAAGTCCAAAAGTCACCGTGCTGCTTTGTCAGCCAAGAAGTATGGCGTTAACAAGGAGGAGTTGTTCCGAGCTTGCGTTTCTAGAGAATTCTTGCTCATGAAGAGGAACTCATTTACCTTCATTTTCAAATTTGCCCTAGTGAGTAAAGCATTTGAGTCTTTTGTATTTGACTTGATTGGAAAACATTGAAACCTTAGTACTATGAGAATGTGAAGTTGAAAATGTCCCACACTGGAAAGTTAGAAAACCTTGCAAGGTCGGAGTAGCCCAACTCCTTATAAACCCCTTGCAAGGTTTTAGAACTTTCCAATGTGGGACATTTTCACCTTCACATTCTCACAAGTACTTGGCCTCAAAGTGATTCTACCTTATAATTGTTCCCTTTTAACTTGTGTTTCAGCTTATTATGTTAGCCTCTATAACAGCATCGATATTTCTACAAATTAAGATGCACAAAGACACAGTGGAGGATGGTGGAGTTTATATGGGTGCTTTGTTCTTTGCGGTCATTGTAGCAATGTTTAATGGAATATCAGAACTCAACATGGCCATTATGAAACTTCCTGTCTTCTACAAACAAAGAGATCTTCTCTTCTTTCCTTCATGGGCATACTCTCTACCTGCATGGATCCTCAAGATCCCAATCACTCTTGTAGAAAGTGCCATTTGGGTGGTCATTACTTATTATGTCATAGGATTTGATCCATGTGTTGAAAGGTGAGAAAAATAATGCTTCATACTTTAAGTTTGATTAGGATTTGACGAAAGCTCTATATATTTCAGGTTGTTCAAGCAGTACATTTTACTCCTGTGCATAAACCAGATGGCATCTGGGATGTTCAGGTTCATGGCAGCCTTAGGAAGGGATGTAATAGTTGCAAGCACAACTGGATCCTTTGCATTGCTTATAATTATGGTTTTGGGTGGATTTGTCTTATCTCGAGGTGATTTAACTATAGAAGTAATAAGATTACTAATTTCCACTGCTGATGTGATTCAGATTCAAATTTTAAAAACCTCTTCTTTTTTTGCATCAGAGGCTGTGCCAAAATGGTGGTTGTGGGGTTACTGGGTCTCACCGTTAATGTATGGACAAAATGCTATTACTGTGAATGAATTTCTTGGAAAGAATTGGAGACATGTAATCATCTATTTCTCTCAAAGTTTGTGTAGCTCCACTAAAAGAAAATTGATAGAAGGTAGAATGATTGTGATCAATGATTATGTGGAGATATTTCTATGTTATAGGTTCCACCTAATTCTACAGAATCCTTGGGAGTTTTGATCTTGAAGTCTCATGGAATTTTCCCAGAAGCACGATGGTATTGGATTGGAGTAGTGGCATTATTTGGATATATTTTTCTATTCAATCTCCTTCTTACTTTGGCTCTGCAGTATCTTGATCGTAAGTATCACGATTCATATGTTCTTTGTGCTTTCAGTTTTGGACTTGTTCATCTAAAAAATGGATTAATGTTGCAGCATTTGGTAAGCCTCAGACAGTACTTTCCAAAGAAGGCATGGCTGAAAGAAATGCTAGCACAACTGGAGAGTTCATTGAGCTATTGCCAAGAGGAAAGAGCTCTTCTGGTAGGTCATTCAGTTCAGTTCCCACATATGTTTCTGTTTTAAATACCCTGTTGAATTCAAGCATTGTTGATGTACAATAACTCATTGCAGAAATTACTGAAGGTCAAAGACGCTTACCGTTATCTGCAAGAAGGGGAAGAACTGATGAAGCTAATGGGAAAAGGAAGCGCGGAATGGTTCTTCCTTTTCAACCGCTTTCCCTTGCTTTCGATGAGATCAGATATGCAATAGATATGCCACAGGTAACTTTCAACATTAAATTAGAAGTACCTCGACAATAATAATGTTTTGGCTGAATTTTCAATATATTTTCAGGAAATGAAAGCTGAGGGTGCTCAAGAGGATCAGTTGGAACTTTTGAAGGGTGTGAGTGGTGCATTTAGGCCAGGAGTCTTGACAGCTCTAATGGGTGTCAGTGGGGCTGGCAAAACCACTCTAATGGATGTGTTGGCTGGAAGGAAAACTGGTGGACATATCAAGGGAAGCATCATGGTATCTGGGTATCCGAAAAAGCAAGAAACATTTGCTCGCATATCAGGATATTGTGAGCAAACTGATATCCACTCTCCTCATGTTACAGTTTATGAATCTCTACTTTTTTCTGCATGGCTTCGGCTACTCCCTGAGGTTGATTCTGCAACAAGAAAGGTACAATTTCAGCATTCTTTTTTTAACAGACAGAAAAGACATTAATTTATTTAATTTTGGTCGAAGACAAGACACTATTATAAAGCATCAAACATGAACAATTTTGTACTCTACTTACCAAGTTATGTACAAATTGATCTGATGTTTGATGGGTTGCAGATGTTCATCGAAGAAGTCATGGAGCTTGTGGAGCTGACTTCATTAAGGGGAGCACTTGTGGGATTACCTAGTGTGACCGGTCTTTCGACTGAGCAGCGCAAAAGACTGACGATTGCTGTTGAGCTTGTTGCAAATCCATCTATAATCTTCATGGATGAACCAACCTCCGGCCTTGATGCCAGAGCAGCAGCAATTGTGATGAGAACCGTGAGGAACACGGTGGACACAGGAAGAACTGTGGTTTGCACCATCCACCAGCCAAGCATAGACATATTTGATGCATTTGATGAGGTTAGATATCCCATTTCAAAAAGGAACTGTAACCTGTGTTGCAAAGTAAATGTTTTAAGCACTTTATGTTGCATTGCAGCTTCTTCTGTTGAAATTGGGAGGTGAGCAAATCTATGGTGGTCCATTAGGCTCCCATTCCTCTCATCTGATCAAGTACTTTGAGGTCAGGACCATAGAGAAATAAATAATGACATAATCTTCCTTATCATTACTTATTAACTAACATATATATGAGTTTTGTGGCACCAAGGGAATTAATGGAGTTCCTAAAATCAAAGATGGATATAACCCTGCAACCTGGATGTTGGAGATTACTTCGGCAGCACAAGAGGCAGCTCTCGGGGTTAATTTCACAGAGGTGTACAAGAACTCAGAGCAATTTAAGTAAGAGTTTAATTTCAAGTCTCTTCCAGGAGAGGGATGAGAATGCAAAAAGTCTTAGTATTTGTAGTTGATGCATGTGGTTGCTCTATACAATTGTTGATACTCAAAGGTCAATGGTTCAGGAGCAGCAAAGCAATGATCAAGGAACTAAGTACACATCCCTCGGGTTCTAGAGATCTATACTTCCCTACTCGCTACTCTCAGTCTTTTCTCATCCAATGTATGGCTTGCCTATGGAAACAGCACTGGTCGTACTGGAGAAACCCATCATATAGTGCAGTAAGGCTGCTATTCACAACGTTCATCGCTTTGTTGTTCGGTTGGATATTCTGGAATCTGGGATCGAAAAGGTATGTAGATGAGTAAACTTAAACAATGGCTGGAAATGGCATCCAGATTTCTGTTTCTTAATCACCAATATGTTCGAACTTGTTTGCGGACCACAGGACAAAGCAGCAAGATCTCTTCAATGCTATGGGTTCCATGTATGCTGCTGTAATCTTTCTTGGGGTACAAAACGGCGCCTCAGTGCAGCCGGTTGTGGCTGTTGAGAGAACAGTCTTTTACAGAGAAAGAGCAGCTGGAATGTATTCGGCTTTGCCCTACGCATTTGGACAGGTAAAACAGTTGAAACTGGCAATGCATGGCATAGAATTATTGAAACAACACATGCTTCTCTCCCTGAAACTCAGGAAATCGTAGGAAGCTCATTGTAATGTTCAATGGCTCACCAAGTCACTGTCTTTGCAGATGATGATTGAGCTTCCCTACATCTTCATTCAGACTGTTATTTATGGATTCATAGTGTATTCCATGATGGGATTTGATTGGATAGCTGCCAAGTTCTTTTGGTACCTGTTTTTCTTGTACTTCACCTTGTTATACTACACATTGTATGGCATGATGACCATGGCTCTCACACCCAACCACAACATTGCTGCCATAACCTCATCTACCTTCTATGCAATATGGAACCTTTTCTCTGGATTTGTTGTTCCTCCGACAGTAAGTAAATATATATACAGACATACGTACATTAGATACATAAATTCATGTGCATACCTTCTATGCAATATGGAACTAAATTTTGGTTATGACAGAGAATTCCAATATGGTGGAAATGGTACTATTGGGTCTGCCCTGTTGCTTGGACATTGTATGGAATGGTTGCTTCACAATTTGGAGACATAAAGGACACAATGGAGTCTGGGGAATCAGTGGAGCATTTCTTGAGAAGTTACTTTGGGTACAAGCATGACTTTTTGGGCATCGTTGCAGTCGTGATTGTTGGATTTTCATTGCTATTCGGCTTCATCTTTGCCTATGGAATTAGAGCATTTAATTTCCAAAAAAGATGAGAATGTTATACAAATAAAATATATGAACAATATTCATTGTCGAGTAACCTACATCACTCTCATCCGTGTGGTTCAAGTATTTTCCAGATAGATCAGTCGAATATGGTAAAAGCAACAATCTTTTTTAATCTGTCCTGATCCAGCCTGAAGGCCGGAAAGGGCAAATCTAACATGCAAGAAGTCTGGGCGTAGGTAAGCCTAGTAAACCAGCCTTAACAAGGCTTGCAAGCAAAAATATCAGTACAACAGAACCAAAAGTATCAGCCTTAACAAACCTCCAATAAAATAATAAAGGCATGTTCAAGAACAAGCAATTCCTTAACAACAGTAAATGTCATCCATAAAGTAAAATCATTTCAAGGAGTACCTACACAAGTTAAATCAGAGTTGTACAAGAACAACAAATTAGGTTACCGACATGGCCGCCGCATATATTACAGTTGGGACTCAAAAATCTCAGTAAAACTACAATGGAAAATTTCAATTAGAAAAACACAATGTAGAAAAGGAGAAAAAAGGGTAAACCATTCGTCATTATCTCAAGTTTTCAAGTCATCCAAGAAGCTTTGCAACTCCCTCAACCCTTCAGCAGAAAAACTCCTCTGCACTCTTGAGCGAGGGGCAATCAGGTTAGGTGGACGCTGTGGTTGGAAGCAGACTACGACAACAGCCAAATTGTCCCCACTCTTCCTCTTCAAAGCCTCATCAACCAAATCCTTGCTACATGTGGCTGGGTCATTGTGCTCCTGAAGTCTGCGCCGAGCAAAATCCACAGCATTTTGACTCATAAACACATCCCAGATCCCGTCACAGCCAATGATAAGGAACTCATCATCCTCTGTAAGTTTTGCAGTCATAAATTCTGGCTCTGCACTGAGTGGCCCACCGTCCCTGCCCTTCATCCCTTCCATATGCCAGTCTCCCAATGCACGAGCAACGTTAAGCTGTCCATTAAGGTAACCATCATACACATATCCTCCAGATGCCTCGATGCGTTGTTTCTCTTTGCCGCAAATCGGTTTGTGATCTCTTGACATTTCAATTGCTTTGCCACGGCGGCACAGCACTGCTCGACAATCTCCAGCATTTGCTACCACCAACAACCTGGCAACAGAAACTAAGATCAACATACAGTACGACTAATCAAACACACACGTTTGTTGGTGCATCTGAAAGTAATATTTTGGAGCTGATGGGATAAATTAACAGGACATGCATGAATTAGATAAACAGAGCAGACCCAGATCAAACCAAAATCATTCAACTAACCAAGAACTTCTTGAACCATAGAACCAATTGGATTGAGACAATGTTTGGTCAGCCTGCATACAGCTAAATGTGACGAGTAGATCAAAGATTACCCACACACCCATAAGAAAATATTTTCAACAGAGTATGGCTGGGTATCCCCAATACTTTCCATACATTTTCTTCAGTCTGTAATGAACTCAGAGCTTACTTCAGAAGGCAGTGAACAACAAAAAGAAAGCCCTAAGGAATGAGATTCAAATTTCACGCACATCAATCACGCCATAGAAGAATGACCTAAAATATAAATGATGTACTCTGAGCAATCATGATACATGCACCTAAAGTTCACATGTAGCGAAAACCAAAATTTC